TTCCCTTAGCTGTGTCAGTATCCTGTAATCCTTGATTCAAATATCAAGTCAGCCCGTTATGATCCTTCGTTTGAGTGCACCATCTTATTGCTCGTTGGTTCCATTCAGCATCGACCTTAAACACCTGCAACATACCTATTGAAACCGGCGTTACACAGACTCAGACAATAACTGATTCTGATGCGAGAAAATAGGGCTGCGCAATATAACCGGTTTACCGGTATTTACCGGTTCAGACATGATAACGATACGTTTTGCGATACGCTGATCGAAAACCGGTATTTTGACTTGCATTCGGAAAACTTCGTAACACTCGGAAATCTTCGGATATTTCCTTGTATCATTTGTGCCAAATATTATTCACATTTCTATTTCATCATGATTAAAAGTTGTTATTAAAGTTTACTCAAGCATAGTGATTTTGCTGTGTTTTTGCTCTATAAATCAAGCATTAACTCGATTATAAGTAGTTTTTTGTTTGAAAATACTTCATGCAATATATTGCAATACATATCGCAATACATGCTTTCGCATCGCAATATATCGCAATATGAAAATTCTCTGCAATACCCACCCCTACTAGAAAAGTATCAAAGTTCACAGAAGTATATTTGCTTTTGGAAACGTTATGACGTCTTTGAAACATTCATTCAGTGTTATAACAATTCAGAATTAATTCAGACCTTGCAGTGATGAAAGTGCTGTAAACAAACCTCCTTGGCTATCCCCCTTTAACCAGAAACTGACTAATCCCCATTCTTTCGTCTTGACTTGAGATGTGTCTAGACAGCAGTAATAACGTGTCATTAATTATAATTGAATGTGTTATACTTCCATCTACGCATTTTCTATTTGTATTATTATTAATATTATTAATTGAAATAAGAGCAACCATCAGCGTCAATATATAAATAGTATACCAAAGGGTCGAGACTCCTGTCTTGGTGCAAGTCGAGTGTTGGGGTCGAGCATTTGGCATTATGTCTATTGAACACTCTTGACGTGAAACTATTTCATCATCATTTCATCAAGATGCCTTCACAATATCTAGCCCACGATGACATTTAAAGTCAAATTTCACAAACGAATTTCTAGATTTAGTTAGGAGAAAATCGTACCCTTAAAGGCCAGAAACTCAACACAGCATCTCTAAAGAGTTCAGTACGTTTGTAGGATTCTTTGTTTAATAAATGCCAACTTCTGCCAAGAAATAACTTTGTTTTTGAAAATACATTACAGAGCGTGTGATTTCAGCATTTTCAGTTCAACATTCAAATACTTCAAACCAATGATATATTTTTTTCTCTTTCTCGAAAACCGACTTAAGGTATCTGGGAAAATGAACATTCAGAGTGAAATTGCAATCATTATTTAATTCCCTAACACCACAAGTCAGTTACAGCCTAGGAATCGTTTCTGTTTGGATATGTATTTAGCTGTATTAGAACATGGCAAATATGAAGCCCCAGGTAACAGGGCAATCTTTCCAAATAAGACCCTTCAGAAATTTATCCCCAAACATAGAAATCCTCGGACGTTTACAACTTTCCGTGTTGACAATTAGTCAAGTATATAGATTAACCGGCCATGCAAGTCTTCAGCTGCCCGAGTGGTATTTCCTCTCAAAGTCCTGGTGATTCATGTTTCTTGCAGGAAAAACGTTAAAATAGTCGTTCCAATTTGAAGGTGCTTCCATCCCGGCACCTCCAAGCTCGCTGGATTACTAGCCTGGCGCCTTAGACAGCTCGCCCACCGCGCCCCCGCCCCGAACAATATATATATATTGTTACTAACAATATATATATATATTGTTGGGGCGCCAGGCTAGCGGTGAGCGAGCTGTCTGAGGCGCCAGGCTAGTAATCCAGCGAGCTTGGAGGTGCCGGGATCGAGCCCACCTGTGACCGAGTGTAAAAAGCCTTGGAGTCAACTTTGTGTGCGATCTTTCAGTGTTGTCACAACCCCTAGTGTACAGTACACAACCCTGTGCACTTAAAAGAACCCACGAATCCGTTGGTAGATGACCAGATTGTGGCCATATGAATACGTGCAAACACCTAGTTGCGGGTACACTCGGTCACAGTGAACTTGGACAAATTATTGTGACTATGTGTCCCAGTCCACCCAGCTGAATGGGTACCTCGTAAGGATGGGAATGCCACACATAACGATATGCAGCAAGTTGCGGGATGAGACATATGCCGTTGCGATGGACATCCAATGATCGAGGGTAAACAAAGCGCCTGTGAGCAGTTGTACTGGATATCGGCGCTATACAAATGTTTGTATGTATATATATATATTCAAATTTGAACGACAGTAAATCATAATGAATAGAGTCGTATTTATTTTTTGTGTTCATCCAAACCTGGCAGAATGAACCAATGTCGTTATTATGTTAAGTTAAGCTGTGTGTGCGTTTGTGTGTGCGTGCGTACGTCCGCCTGTGCATTCACATTTTGACGGAGGCATGTAAATAACGGAATCTCTAGCAGACACTTCCCCACATGAGTACAATGTGTGAAGCTCATTTCTGGTGTCCCCTCGGACTGATATTGCTGGAATATTGCTAATAGTAAACTCACTCACTCGAGCATACAATCCTGTGATTGACATTATGAGCAACAATGTACGTCGTCGTGGTGACAACGACAAGGAATGGTCCAAGTCACCGAACCTAACGGAGGTCGCTTCCTACAACCAGCGTGGGTTAGAATTGATCTTCAGCAACCCATGATTGTCGTAAGAGGCGACTAACTGGATCGGGTTGTCAGGCTCTCTGACTTGGCTGACACGTGTCATCGATTCCTAATAGCTGAGATCGATGCTGATGCTGTTGATCACTGGGTTGTCTGGTCCAGACTGGAATACTGCATTCTGCAGCGTTAAACAACCAACCAGCAATATGGCGGTTGGGTTCCAAGCAAATTAATCCCACCAAGAGAAAGAAGGCGGAATTACTTGTGAGGATGTACAATTCAGTGACTGGTAGCCTCACATTATATCACGTTCCACACATAGCTTAGCAAATACCAGTACGATGGAGTGAGTGAGTGGAAAGGTTAACAATCTATATCTATATAGTAACAAGCGCGAGCCTCATATAAATCCAGACTTGAAACTGTCGTCAGGATTTACATTACAGTGATCCACAATGTATGAATGAGTGAATGAGTGAGTGAATTAGTGTCCTCACAATGTGAATGAGTGAGTGTATGAGCAAGTGAGAGTGAATTACAGTAATTCAACAATGTGAGAGTGAGTGAATGAATTAGTGTCTCCACAATGTATGCGAGTGAATGAAGTACAGTATTTCCACAATATGAGTGAGTGTATGAATGAGAGTGAATTACTGTGTCTCCACAATGTATGTGAGTGAATGAAGTACAGTATTTCCACAATATGAGTGAGTGATGAAAAAAGTGGGTATGTGGAGCGAATCACAGTATTTCCACAATATGAGTGAATGTGTCTCCACAATGTATGCAGTGAATGAATTTCCAGTATTTCCAATTATAGTGATGAGTGAGAGTGTATGAATGAGAGTGAATTACAGTGTCTCCACAATGTGTGCGAGTGAATGAAGTACAGTATTTCCACAATATGAGTGAGTGTATGAATGAGAGTGAATTACTGTGTCTCCACAATGTATGCGAGTGAATTACAATCTCCTCACAATGTGAATGAGTGAGGGAGAGTGAATTACAGGTTTCCACAATGCAGAGAGAGAGTGAGTGAGTGAGTGAATGAATTACAGTGTTTCCACAATGTATGAGTTAGTGACCCTGGGTAAGATATTACAACACTACCTACTAAGAAAATATGGACCACCACCATCCTCAGGAGGAAATCAGAACTATGTCCGTCACAGGAATTACAATTCCTGGGAATCAAGTTTCTCACCAGAGAAAATCAAATTGTACTCCCACAGGTACGATGGGAGAATATACAGAAATGTCTACACACTGCCTTGAACGAACTTCTTCTGATAAGAGAGTGGCAGAGATTATTGGGCCTCCTAACGTCAGCTCAATCCCTAACTCGCAGAGGAAGGTTACAACTACGTCCAATTCATCGTTTCTTAATACCACATCTGGAAAATCTACAATCCATAAGCATTCCTCAACACTTTAGGGATATTAAATGTGGTGGACCACCACCATCGTCATCGTTTCCAGCAGGAAGTATGTATGCAGGCAGGCATATCAGGACAAAACATCAACAGGACTTGTCACACCAACAAACATTTCCCTTATATTGGAGATAATATTGATTTATTTTCACATGTTTTCTTTCATTCTGTACGGTTGAGTATACATAATTTACATACTATACATATTCACACAAACAATGACATGTAACCACTTGGAGAAGTCATGAGGTTTCTCCATTGAGACGATGACCAAATCACATCGTCTCATCACTGGGCATTCAGCGAATTAATTCCAACGACTTTACAACCATATCAGTCTATTGATGAATCATCTGTAGTGTGAGACAGATCTCTGGTTGTTACCAGATAGCACCGCAGATAAATCTTATACTGAGGTCATGCTCTGCTGTATGCTAGCTACATGGTGCCCTGGGAACCTACCCTTCCACAGAATTATAACCCTCGTTTCCACCAGAATTGGTGCTTAGTCCAAAGATCGGCAGATAAAAAAACTTACTGATTCAGTTTGACTGTCATTGTTTCAGGTTGTGCAGTGTTCTTCAGCAATATTGCAGTAAAATGATGACTGGAAATAATCAAGTCTGGACCAGACAATCCAGTGACTGACATTATTAGAATGGATGTACCAATCTTGTATTCATCAGCTGAGTCAGCAAGCCTGACAACACAGCATTGTAATTGCTTCTTAAAGTGAGGGAGTATAGTTTTACACACACTCAGCGATATTCCAGTTATATGGCGGCAGTCTGTATATAATCAAGTCTGGACCACACAATCCAGTGATCAACTGCATGAGCATCCATCTATACAACTGGGATACGATGGCATGTGTCAACCTAGACAGCGAGCCTGACCACCCGATCTCATTAGTCCTCTCTTACGACAAGCATGGGTTACTGAAGATCAATTCTAACCCGGATCTTCACGGGTTTGCTTCTTACAAGCTTGGTTGACAAGACAAGATGCACAATGGATGCAGCTGTACAGTCTTTCTGCTGCAGTAGAGTCACCCATGCATGATAGATCATCAATTTTCATTCACACATGTACTCTTATCTCTTCATATACTGCACATCCATATTCTTCAGGGCTTTATTAAACTTTCAAACCACCGATATTCTTTTCCCAGGGCACGATCCAGCTTTTTTGTGTCCAGGTCAGCATGTGATACATTTTCCTTTTTCGCTGAAGGTGGCCTTGACCCTTCGGTGACCTCCATGTCAGAGTCTGAATCAGCCTTAATGTTCAACTGTAGACCACTGTCAATATCATCGATGTCATCTTCCTCTTCGTCCTCCATCACTTCAGCCCTGGAATAGATGAACACAGTCAGGAAAACACTTCACATAACAAGTTTATTATTTCTCTAACATTAACATGAGCACTCAGCGAGACATGCCTGTATGCTTTGGATCTTCTGTGAGGTGAGGTGAAATTGGGTTTAACGTCGTGCTTGAGAATATTTCACTCATATGACGACGTGCATGCGTGTGTATGTGTATGTGCGGCTGCTTGTACTAGCCCAGACTGAGGCTGGTTTTATAGTGCTAGCCCACTGAGATACCATGCCGCAGTGAAACATGAATACCCCACTCAGACACATTATACTGATTCCCGAGCCGACCAGTCCTTGTTGTACCCATTAATGCCGAGCGCCAGGCAGGGACCAACAAGTACCATATTTTAACGTCTTTTGGTATGACGTGGTCGGGGATGGAACCCGCGACCTTCCGCACTCCGGGGCGGACGCTCTAACCACTACACCACGGGGGCGGTCTGGGATACAATAACAAGTGTCAACCAAGTCAGCAACCCGGACCACCTGATCACATTAGTCACTGTTTGCGACAAGCATGGGTTGAAGATCAATTCTAACCTGGATCTTTATCGGTAGATCTTTAACTAACACAGGTATCCGATTCTGTATAGTGTAGAGATTCATACACATAGTATACAATTGGATCCTGCGACAAGTAAGGGATACAACTCCGCATGGTGAATCATCAAGAGATCACAAACCAACTGAAACTCTACGATTATCAGACTAACCCCATATCAACATCAACATTTGAGCGAGTGAGTTTAGTTTAATGCAGCACTCAGCAATATTCCAGCTATATGGCAGCAGTCTGTAAATAATCGAGTCTGGACCAAACAATCCATTGATCAACAGCATGAGCATCGACTTACCCAACTGGGATATGATGACATGTGTCAACCAAGTCAGCGAGTCTGACCACCTGATCCCGTTTGGTTGCCTCTTACGACAAACATGGGTTACTGAAGATCAATTCTAACCCAGACCTTCACAGGTTCATCAACATTCGAACATACCTGGCAGTGGTTCCTTTAGATAGGCGGGTCTCCAGGAATGTCAGGCATAAGTCTGGTAGTGGAGGCTGAGCCACAGCAGACATGCTGCACATCTAGGGAAACACAGGTTCGTTATGTCACTTAATGTCCTTGAGGCATTTTGATTTTAATTACTCTTTACAAATCTGATAATCAAAAAGATCATAGCCGTGGAACACCAATGAAAATTAAAGATCATCAGCATAATTTCAGTTACTTCAAAACAGTTTAAAATAACATAGAAGTAGCTTTTTCAAACCTATTCTAAACAGTGACAAGATGTATTTCAGGCAACTTCCTCAAGATAGGAAATAAAATGTGACGGCTTTCAAAGCACAAAACACCTTTCCAAAGCCAGTAACGGCATAATCAAAGACTATCATACCTGGATGAACCCTGTGATATGGGGAGTAGGTCAGTGATTATGGTTTTACGCTGCTTTTAGCAATATTCCAGCCATGTCATGGCGGGGGACACGTGAAATGGGCTTAACACATTCTACCCGTGTGGGGAATTGAACCTGGGTCTTCTACTTGACAAGCAAATGCTTTAACCACAAGGCTAACCAATCGTCCTGATATGGGAAATGGTATAACTGCTGAGTTTGAAGTACTAATATATCTATGAGTATGTGAGTGAAGTACCTGTTGAATGAACTGTGTCTCCTTCATGCCCACAGACATGTCGATGTGCTCATGTTTCCGATCCTTCACGGCAGACTTCCTGTGTTTTGACATGAGCAGGCTGAGAGCTGACTGGGGAAGGTTCTGTTTAATCGGAGTCTGAAAACCACAAGAGACGCTTTAGGATGTGTTTTATTTGTTGTTTAAGGCTGCTCAGCAATATCCCAGGTATATCAGAAAATCAGGTGATTGACATCATGAGCAAAGTTCCATGGTTACCAGAAAATCAGGTGATTGACATCATGAGCACAGTTCCATGGTTACCAGAAAATCAGGTGATTGACATCATGAGCAAAGTTCCATGATACTTGGACGTGATGAATCAACCTGACCACTCTATTCATTTAGTCATCACCTACGACACACACGGTTGTTTGGGATCTGTATTCTTACCTAGAATCCATGGGGATTACGAGCAAGCAAATATAGTTTTACGCCGCTTTTAGCAATATTCCAGCAATATCACAGCAGGGGACCAGAAATGGGCTTCACACAGTGTACCAATGTGGGGAACCGAACCTGGGTCTTCAGCGTGATGAGGGGACGCTTTCACCACAAGGCTAGTCCACCTCATCTGCAGAATTCTAATACAATGCCTGCCTATATAATACTAAAATAAAGCCTATATCAAATAGAACTTGCCCACCTAAAATTAATCAATGCAGGGAATATTTAGAATTTTAAACAAAAAGCACTGGCCCAGTATCCTGTTGAAATTGGAAATTGATTCATATCCTTATTATCTGTAACTCACAGGTACATTTAAGCATTATATTCTGCTGTCTGCTACAAGTTACTGCAGCTGACATTTGTAATAACTGTAACAGTGAGTGAGGTGAGGTGAAATTGGGTTTAACGTCGTGCTTGAGAATATTTCGCTCATATGACGGCGTGCATGCGTGTGTATGTGTATGTGCGGCTGCTTGTACTAGCCCAGACTTAAGCTGGTTTTATAGTGCTAGCCCACTGAGATACCATGCCGCAGTGAAGCATGAATACCCCACTCAGACACATTATACTGACTCCGAGCCGACCAGTCCTTGTTGTACCCATTAATGCCGAGCGCCAGGCAGGAACCAACAAGTACCATATTTTAACGTCTTTTGGTATGACGCGGATGGAGATCGAACCCGCGACCTTCCGCTTTCCGAGCGGACGCTCTAACCACTACACCACGGAGGCGGTCGTAACAGTGAGTGAGTGAGTGTAGTTTAATGCCCTTTTAGCAATATTCCAGCAATATCATGGCAGGGACACCAGAAATGGGCTTCACACATTCTACCCATGTGGGTAATCGAACCCGGTCTTCGGCATGATGAGTGAACACTTTAACCTCTAGGCTACCCCACCACCCCTTACTGTAACAGGGACTGGGGCATCTTCTATTTCAAAGTAGGAATCTTATCTGGCATTACTTGCCAATTAGGACCAGTTAGTACCTGAGATGGTCTAGGTAAATCACTACTATGACAAACTTCTTAAAAACATCCTAAGAAGTGACAGTTACCAAAGCAATACAGACATTGCATATGTTCTACGAATCAAAGCAGTGAGCTTTTTTTATGTACTTGGTGAAATTTAGGGTAAGTTTACTCACAGTAACATGATCATTGTAACTATTTTAGTAAGTAATTGTAAATTTTATAATAAATTGTATATTTATATACTTATCCTATCTCACAGTATCGCGTGAGATAGGATAAGTTTAAAAATTTAACACTTAGTCAGAGAGACAGTGAGACTGCATTAACACTGCAGTTATTCCAGTTAAATTACTACATGTTAGTGTAAAGTTGTAGGAAGGTCCAGTGATGAAGGTCTCTTGCGTACGATGCTGACACACCTAGACACCTATGCCTTAGACTACTCAGCCACCTGTGGCCTTCAATTCTGTGCACAAACTCCACACTGTGCCTGCTAAATCCTACCTTCTTTCTATATCCATCAGTGCTGTCCTCACTGACTTCATATTGCACTGTAAGGAGATCTTGCTCTTTTGTCATGAAGTACAGCTGTGATTGTCTCTGCCATAGTAGTCTCCCCTTGGCACTGAATGGACTCTCCTCTTTGTGAGGTATGAAAACAGCACTGACAACGTCTTTCTTTGAGACCTGCGTCTGAGTGAAGACCGGCTTTGAATTGGCTGGCTCGAACACATGAACTGTCAAGAAGAGGTCAAATGAAGAGAAACGTGAAATATATTTCAATGTTATTTGTTGCTTCAAATCCAAAGTAAGTTTACCATTTTGCTGCTATATTTGTGATGTATTCTTGCAAACATACAAGTATGGACCAGACAATCTGTTCCCGACACTACAATTACAACTATAAGATGGCTATTACATAACCTGGTATAGAGCCATTACAAATCTGGATATCTGATACAAGTATGGATCAACAGCATGAATCTCTGTTCCTGACACTCAAAACTACAACTTTAAGATAGCAAGATAGTCGCCATTATGGCAAGCACCTGGGTTGCTGAAGACCTATTCACAATCTGGATATATCTAGTTAAGTAGGATATTTCATGCCATACTAAACACCATGCTAAAGTTACTAGATTGCTGATAGTAAATAATATCATCTAGACCAGACATTCTGGATCTGTCAACCCAACAGTATAGACAATCAAAATGGAAAGGAACAACATCAAAGTGGGTTTGTTTGTTGGCAGCAATATTCCAGCCATATGGCAGTGGTCCAGAGGCCCAGATAAGCTGCGTATCCGGAGTAAAATACGCATAGAATTACGCATTGAAAAATAATTGTTGCGTACCAATTACGCATTTAAAATGTTAGATACGCAAAAAGTTTAAAACAAATGCGTACGGAATCGATTGCTATCAAGTTGTACTGTTAGTATAGGACAAGTGTTGTAATGTCAGTATAGGATGAGTGATTTTTATGAAATAAATTCGAACTAACCTGTAGAGGTTTCAGATTCTTTGAATATATTCCTCCTTGGGTACTTATAAGCATTTAAATGTCCATTTAAATTCCCTACGACAGTTGTAACAATATTTGAATAAAATATTTACAAAACAAAACTACGCTTTTGTCTTGTGAGACCACCCTTACAGGGCCTTCCCGCCCCTACAGCCAAGAGCAGGTAACTCTAGGACCGTAAACTCGGTACCTCACTTTCCATGCTGAACGAAGTCAGACAGAATGCAGGGAGGTGGGTGCGCATTCTTGCGAGGAATATATTCAAAGAATCTGAAACCTCTACAGGTTAGTTCGATTCTTTTATATATTCCTCCTTGGGTACTTATAAGCATAAGACAGACTCCTAAAGATTAGGATCTCAGGAGCATTATTCTGTCTTAGCTTAAACACCCCCGACAAGAAGTGGAATTTCCCAAGCTAATTATAGCAGAAAAGGCACACTTACCGGTCAACGTGTCCACCAAAGCCAATCAGGCGGGGCATGAGCCAGGGTCAGGGTTAAACGTGATGCAAATTTGTCCAGCTTAAACCTCGCTAATGCAATCTTAACGAGACACACCCTCCCTCCTTCCCGTGAATCTACTTGGAAGCAAAGATAAGGGTCCCGCAATAAACCCAGAAACGAAAATGCGGAATATGAACAGCAAAGTTTCCAAGGGCAGTTTAGTCTAGAGCTTCTCGGTTTAGAAAGCAAGAGACATGGGAATAAAACCAGCACCACATAAAACCCAGCACCAAGGGAAAATGTAACAAGATTTGTAAAACCCAACACCAGTGTTAAAAATTGGCAGATAATGGTTCACACAATAAAACCCTCGAAAAGCTCAATCGGCTAGAGAGGTGGAACCATGCCCACTGGAGAGAACTGACTGACCTAACCGAGCACGCCACTGGAGAGTCTGTCAAGTTGGTAATGACGGATGAACGCACTCGACGGCTCCAAATAGCCGCTGAGCAGATCTCCTCAATGGGCAGGGCTGCAGCGTAGCTGTCGATGTAGCTACTGCCCTAACCGAATGAGTTTTCAACCCAACAGGCGGATATCGCCCTGTTTGAGTATAACTCATATGTATGGCAGAGACAAGCCACCGAGAAATGGTCTGCTTGGTCGCCGGAAGACCAGCCTGAACCCGCCATAACAACAAAACAATTAGTTACCCTTACGGGTACCCCTTTGTTCGCTTGATATAAGCCTGAAGTGTCTTTACGGACATCTAAGACGTGGAGCACGCCGTAGAGAGGTACCGGACAGGGAAGGCTGAGTGAAAGCTGGGAGCTCAATAGGCGCAAATCACATTGAAGGGACTATCCTTCTTGGACGGTAAGTCTCAGGCAGCCGAATGCTAACTCTGTGTCTTTGTGAAAAACAGTAAGCGGGATCGGCCGACATTGCGTGAATATCGCCAACCCGCCTCGCCAGAAGTCACCGCCACAAGAAACGCCGCCTTCCACGCCAACAGCTGGAGGGAAAGAGCCGACAGATTGTGAAACAGTGGACCGGACAGCCAATCAAGAACGATTGACAAGTCCCATCGGGACTAATCAATCCGGACAACCGACGGATTCTGTCCACACCTGCTAAAAGCGCTGTACATAAGAGGGTGCTGCCCCAAGAGAGCACCGTCCAACAGGAATATGAACGCAGAAATAGCCGTAGAATATCCTCGAACAGTGGAAGCCGCTTAGACAGGCTTCCAACCGAGACTGGAGGAATTCTAACACACAGACTAAATCTGTAGAAAAGGGATCAAGAATCCCCTGTTGACACACCAAGCGTGCCAATAACAGGCCCTCCATCTATCCTCATATTGAACGTTTGTCGAAATCCTCACTGGAAGCCAGAATTGTGTCTGCAACTGGTGCAGGAATTCGCCGCGATGGAGGCGTATCCCTGATAGCGCCAAGCCACCCACTGAATCCTGGGATTCGGTGGGCTTAATCGACCGCTCTGGGATAGGAGGTCCGGGTCGAAAAGGTAATAGAACAGGAGGCTGAGCCAGAAACCTGAGAATTACCGAAACCAGCTTTGTGCCGACCAAAGGGGTGCCAGAAGCACAAGTAGCCGAGCTGGTTGTCGCGGTCAGCTGCGACAGGACCCTGGAAATCAGTGGTATCTGGGGAACGCCACAGTACCCTGTCCGTCCAATCTAGCTGAAAGCGCCGCGTTGGCTAACGACCCGGATCCGGAATCGGGGCAAAACACAGGAATCTGGTTCGTCACCCCAGGCGCAAAACAGATCCACCTGGAACGACTCAACAACTGGGAGATAATCCTGAATATCTCCCGGTCGAGCATCCACTCGTGTGGGGCTAGTATCGCCCGTGAGAGAGCATCTGCACGGACGCTGTTCACCCCCGGGAGATAAACAGGCAAAACCCGAATGTTGAACTTATCGCACCACAGTAGAAACTGCCACGCCTCCTGAAGGAGCCGACGGAGACACTGTGCCACCTTGCTTGAGAATGTAAGACATGGCCGCTGATTGTCCATTTCTAGACCCGAACCACACGGCCCTGCACCAACACCGGAAGCACTCGAACACCTTGCGGACTGCTCTCAGTTCTAACACATTGATGTGTAGGCTGACCTCCGGCTCCACCAGAGGCCGGAGGCTGAGTGCTTCGCCCAGGACCCCAACCTGTGAGGGAGGCCCGTCTGAACTGAAGGGAAGGTGTCGGGTGTCGAGGGATCCCCTGGACAAATTCCGGCGTCCGTCCCACCATCGCCAAGTGAGGGATTAACCACTCTGGCGTTATGAGCATAATCTCGTAGCCCTGCGAGTGGGACCACAGCTGAGCTAATGCTTGCTGAATTGGTCGCATCCTCAAACGCAGCGCGCCAAACCATCGTCCACTGTCGCCACCATGTTGCCGAGCAACCGGGAAGCCATGTTCGGGCCGGCGCAACGGGGACTGGAGGAACTGTAACACAGTCCTTCGGACTTTGGCGATGCGTCCGAGCAAGGGAAACAATCCCTAGCGCCGTGTTGAATCTGGCTCCCAAGAATATCAGATCCTGCGTCCGGACGAGGTCTGATTTCTTGAGATTGATAATCCAGCCCAGTGACACCAGAGTATCCAGCACGCACAGTGTGGAGGCTCTGCTTAACTGAGGCCCTAAGGCCCTGAGAAGCCAATCGTCTAGGTACGGTGACAACACCTGCCCTGAGACCTGGCTAACTGAGCTGGGATTAGCATAAGTTTGGTGAACACCCTTGGCCGTGCGAGATGCCTGAAGGGAGCCTGTGCGAAACTGGTAGCACGTCCCGTCAAGGAGAACCGGAGGTACTTCTTGAATTCGGGTGCATTGGAACATGGAGGTATCGTCTTTGAGATCGATTGGCGTAAGCCAATCCCCTGTCTCGACCGGAGGAGATCACTGACCTGAGTGTTCCATCCTGAAAGACGGCACCTCCAGTAATTTGTTCAGCCCTCTGAGATTCAGAATGGGTCTGAACCCTCAGTCCTTTTGGTCACGAGGAAGTAGGTGGAATAAAACCCTCTTCTCGACAAGCGTAGCATGCAGTTGACAACCTAGTACACACTGCAGCATAACTAGCAATTACGGTTTTGTAGCTAATATAGAAAATGCGAGCAGTAGACATCGCCCTACACGCACAAAGATACAAATAAAACCACTAAAACCACCTGTAACATTGAAAAACCACATGGGAAACCAATGAACAGGAAGGCTAGCGAAGGGACCTGTCCGCCATCTTGACACGCACTAGCTTAGCCGTCAGCGACAGGTACCAAGTTACAACGAGAAATTATGAATGAAAAATTCAGAAAAACCTCCAATTAAGCCCATGCAGGAAAAAAAGAGAACCATACATACAGTTGCAGTTTCTGAAACACTCATAACTCTCTTTAGTCGCAAGGAAAAACCTTCTGGTATGGACCCATGTCTTGTCGGTTACAACGACAGCATGGAAAGTGAGGTATGCGAGGTTACGGTCTAGAGTTACCTGCTCTTGGCTGTAGGGGCGGAAGGCCCTGTAAGGGTGGTCTCACAAGACAAAACGTGAGTTTTTGTTTTGTAAATATTTTATTCAAATATTGTTACAACTGTCGAGGGAATTTAAATGGACATTTAAATGCTTATAAGTACCCCAAGGAGGAATATATAAAAGAATCCATCATATTTAAGTTGGTTTTGATTAGGTATGACATAAGGCAGAACATACCTGCTTAGTAAACTTGCTCAATGACATAATACTTAGGTGAGTAAAGTGACTGAAATACACACATATTTGAAAGAAGTGGGTAACGGAAAATGAAATACCCACTCAACATTCATGATACCCACTCCCAAAAAATACAGTGGGTACAGTACCCACATGAGCTTAATCTTATCTGGAGCTCTGGTGGTCTGTAAATAATTAAGTCTGGACCAGACAATCCAGTCATCAATATCTGGAGTATTGATTATCAGAACTGGAATATGATGACATGTGTTAACCACGAGCCTGACAACCTGATGCCAATAGTCGCCTCTTACAACAAGCATGTGTTACTGAAGACAAACTCTTACCCAGATCTTCATGGGTAAACAATATCTACACAAGGCTGCAGATTATTCTTTTCAATTTGTTTCCAATCACCGAAACATTTAACAGTGCAGAATAAAACAGCAGACAGCTAGACCATCAACTGATTCATTCCGGTGGTCTCATGAAATCTTTCATGCCAGAATGTGTCGTAAGCACTGCTACCAGCAAGGTGTGGTACTTACGGTCCCCGCTATGTGTGAACACAGACATGTACTTGGTCAGCGGGTCATCAACCAGCACCACTGCCCCAATAGACACACTCCACTGGACTGAAAGGAACATTAGAGAATTATTCCCACATTGTACCCAAGTGGGGAATTGAACCCGGGTGTTTGGCGTGACGAGCAAATGATTTTATCCACTAGACTACCCTACCGCCTGCAGTACATTGATTAAATTCAATCAACATCACATTTAGTTAACTCTGCAATATCTAGTGGACTTCATCGTCATGATGTTAGGAGTGACTTTTTGAGCATCACCATGGAAACTATTCTAAATAAGTAGATATTTTAGTTCTATAAGGATCTCGAGATTTGAAGCCTTGCTGCTATTTTAAAACCTTACCCTGACATCCACAAAAATAGACACTAACTTTTAACAACGGATAAACAGTAAAAGGATAAACAATCAACTTACAGAAAAGTTGAGGCCTTTTAAAATATCTCAGTCATACTGTCTTACAAGTTAGGTATTTTCCCCTCCACAGTGTTTCTGACCTGAGCATGTGAGGAGGTTCCACACGGTGAGCTGCCATGCCGTGGTGGCCACGAGGAGGTGACAGCAGGACTTGCGGCCGAACAACACCTGTCTGAAACACAACATGACTGACTGAAACACCACTTTATTAGCAAACCAGTGGTTGAAGGCATGACCACAGGTCACGATGACATGCAATTAACAGAGTCACTAGGTATAACCACAGGTTGCCTCTTAGAACGCACAATAGAGATGAAATACACAATGCCATTTAGAAAGTGGTTAAATGTAACATATGTTATATTTGGGATTACACTTTCTTAGTAAAGTACAGATTCTAGTACTTTTGTTGGGTTTAGTCCCACCTGGGATTCGAACCCACACCCTTAATGTCTAGTAATGTTTGTTTTTTCGATTGTTCTAACGGCTAGGCATCTTAGAATTAAGAAATATGGTTCGATTACGAGGGGGCACACTAGAATGGCGCAGTGACGGGATAACGTCATTCAATTGTTACGTCATCAAAAAACTATACCTTTATTGTCTGATAATGTATTCTTTTTCGATTGTTCTAACCGCTAGGCATCTAAGAATTGGGATTACACTTTCTTAGTAACAAAAGTACTAGAATCTGTACTTTACTAAGAAAGTGTAATCCCAAATATAACATATGTTACATTTGACCACTTTCTAAATGGCATGGTGTAATTAATAGCTTTCAGCCGTGGGAGCCGTGCCAATTAACACTTATCAGAGGGGTACACAAAGTCCGCAGTCTAGACTACCAGTTGTCCGACTTCCATTTTTGAGGAAGCCGCGGTGGCTGAGCGGTCTAGGCATCTGACTTTGTGTGCTGGCGATTAGGTGCCTGACTCTGAGGGTGTGGGTTCGAATCCCGGATGGGACTCAACCCAACAAAAGTACTAGAATCTGTACTTTACTAAGAAAGTGGAATCCCAAATATAACATATGTTACACACAATAGAGAGCTGGTCAGTTTCAGCAATAAATATAAAATCAAGTCTGCTTTGGTGGACCTGGTCACTTTGGTAAACCAGTGGTTGATATAATGAACAACATTCAATACCAGGTCATTTTATGTACAAAACGCACACCTGCATATTGAAAACAATCATTTCCCACCTGATATTCTTCTTGTCAAAGCTGCTACTGAAAGTAGTCCTTAGGACGTTAGTATCTGGGTCCCACAGTGTAATGGTGGATTCGAACACAACGGCCAGGAGGGAGCCGTCTTCAGCGAAGGCCGTCGCTCCTGTGTCCATCTCTCGGTAGAAGCCAACCGAGTCACATGTCCACTTGCTGTTGGATCCTGTCAGGGGTAAAGAATATTTTTAGTTTACTCATTCAAGTTTCTTTTATTTTCAGTCAGAAACTGCAGTGAGTGAGGGAATTGTGAACATAGCTTTCTGCATGCCAAAGAGAAAACCGTATATCTACACAAGTTCTTTTTGTAGAATCCGTTTTTTGTAAATATTTCATCAACAAAACCAAATCTGCAACTTTGCAAGATTACACTTTGTACCATGGCATATTGAATTTTTGCACAGCTAAAACTCGAGAGACATTCTCACATAATCAGATTATCCATTATCTCGAATACAACACTGCATAAAACACTGGCACATAACATGATTAATGACTTCGGACTTGGGACTTTGATGTTATAGTTTAAGTAAGCCTGACCATCGATTTCCCACCTTAGTCACTCCTCTGACACCGCCTTTGTAGTGGTTAGAGCGTCCGCACGGAGAGCGGAAGGTTCAATCCTCGGCCTCGTCATACCAAAGGACGCTAAAATATGGTACTTGTTGGTCCCCACCTGGCGTTTGGCATTAATGGGTACAACAAGGACTGGTCGGCTTGGAGTCAGTACAATGTGTCTGAGTGGGGTATTCATGCTTAACTGCAGCATGGTATTTCACGGAGCTAGCACTATAAAACCAGCTTAAGTTTGGGCTAGTACAAGCAGCCACACATACACACGCATGTATATCATCATATGAGTGAAATATTCTTAAGTACAACGTTAAACCCCATTTCAACTCACCTCACCTCACCTCACTCTTCTGACTAGTATGAGGTAAGTGGACAGAGTATTCAATGGAAGTGAGGTGAAATTGGGTTTAACGTCGTGCTTGAGAATATTTCACTCATATGACGAGTATTCAGTGGAACCATGGGGAACTATCACTGAGAATGAACAGCAAAAGAACTGGAGAGAATGACAATAGAACGCCTCCACACTCTCCTTGTTTAAACAATCGTCTGATTTTGACTCCTTCTTGGTTCAACACCAGCAGTACTGATCACGGTAAATCAAGCCAATCATTGGATTATTTCCACAGCTCTCCAAGTAACTAGACCATAGATTTGTAAAGCCTAAGGATATCTAAATATGTTAAACTATGAGTGAGTATGGTATTATGCCGCTTGTAGCAATATTCCAGGATTATCACGGTGGGGGACACTAGAAATGGGCTTTACACATTGTACCCATGTGGGGAATCGAATCCGGGTCTTCAGTGTGACGAGACAATGTTTTAACTACTAGGCTACCCCACCGCCCCTGTTAAACTATTTTACAACAAACAAGCTTATAATGTACTGATGGATATAACAAATATATCTGTGGGTATTATCTGTTACATTTGTTGTAGACTTGCATATCTGTTGTGTGTCTCGACGATGAATTGAACATACTATAGATATCTGTGTCGTCCACCAGCGTCCACAGTTTGAAGCGGCGATCATGTCCCCCTGACACCACCAGCGGCAACATGGAACTGATGGAAGAGTTATAGGGCCGGAATGTCAGGGAGCCCAGTGCTTTATCGTGGGGTCGGTCCACGACCGTGTTCATCTCGTACCTGACAAAAAGCACAGTACTTCAATAAAGTCAATGGCGATTTTGGTTTGGTTTGTTGTTTAATGCCGCACTCAGCAATATTCCACGTATCTGGCAGCGGTCGGTAAATAATACAGTCTGGACCAGACAATCCAGTGATCAACAGCATGAGTATCAATCAATGCAGTTGGGATATGATGACATGTCAACCAAGTCAGCTAGCCTGACCACCTGATCCCTTTAGATACCCCTTACAACAAGTATGGGTTGCTGAAGACCAATTCTAACCCGGATCTTCCCAGGTAAAATCAACGGTGAAAATGAGAAACAAACCAAATCATGTTTGAATTGAATATGACAAAAGAGAACTAATTCAAACTAACACTAAGTCTAAGAAGAGATGTAAACATGGACCTGTACTATTTCCCGATTGCTGGGATACCCCTGGAGTAAATACATGATGACTGTGTGTAACCAGATAAGTTTCACGGTGTCTAGATCTGTGAGAGAATATCCTTGTAACAAAGGATAACATGAACCTCTTCAAAAACAAACATACATAAGTTTTTATCAACAATTGTTTGTTTGTTTGTTTGTTGTTTAACCCCACACTTGGCAATAATCCAGCTAAATGACAGCTGGCTGTAGCTATTCCAGACCAGACAATCCAGTGATTAACATTATGAACATCAGTCAACACAATACAGCTACAATGACATGTAGTAACAGTGTCAGAACACATGACCACCCTATCCTGCAAATCACATCAAATGACAAGTAACGGTTGCTGAAAACCTAATCTGACCGGTACCTTCACCGGTTACTAAAACCAATCAATTCCTCAAGCAAACATCTCTGAAAAAAATAAACGGGCTACACACCTCTGTTTCTCTTGATCAAAAAGCCAGAACTTGAGCTGCATCTCGGGGGACATCTCCCCATCGTCCCACAGTTCATAGGTGGCCAACCAATCACCACGCTCGTCTATCGCCGCCTTTGTGATCTGGGTGACAGTCAGAGGCTGTTCCAGATTCTCCGAGGAGATGTAGTTTTGTCGTACAATATCAAGCTGAAACACAAACACATGGTGATTGGCTTGTACAACTTCATGTATGGCCTATTACATTATGTCACCACAATATGAGTGTGAGTTTAGTTTTATGCCACACTCAGCAATATTCCAGCTATATGACGGTGGTTTGTAAATAATCTAGTCTGGGCCAAACAATCCAGTGATCAACGGCATAAGCATCTATCTACGCAATTGGGATACGATGGCATTTATCAACCAAGTCAGCGAGCCTGACCTCCCAATCACGTTAGTTGCCTCTTACGAAAAGCGTGGGTTACTGAAGATCAATTCTAACCCGGATCTTCATGGGTGACCAGAATATGAGGTGATAAGACCAAAGTGATGGAGATTGAGCCCAACAAGGACACTTGTAGTGATAATAATAAACATAATGGACATTGCAACCTAACCCATGGTCAGCAGATCCTAGCATGACTAAGGGATGCAACTCTATAAGTTCCACCAGTTTAATGCTGGATAAATGACCTAAGCACATGGTGTTGACAGACCAAAAGTCATATTAGTGTACGCTGTTCACTGCTCAGAAAAACACATAGGCACAGGACTTTTCAGCCACACCTCGTATATCAGTCAAGCTGATCATATCATCCTGAACTCACGTTAAAGAGTTGCCTGTCGCTATGGACACAGTAGAACTGTAAGTGTCCTGGCCTCCCATTGGTCACTACTGCCCGCGACCTGGGGTCACAGAGCAGACCGACAGGGTTTCCGTGGGAGAAGCTTGTCTTGGTGAGCCCCTGGTAGATCTGGCAGATGTCGAGGGTGTTCCTGATCAGATGGATACCTGGGGAAACAGTCACACAGTTACCTTTGTTTGTTTGTTGTGTTGTTTTGTTTTGTTTTGTCTTGTTTGTCAAACACTGCACTCGGAGTATTTCAGCTATAGTGACTGAGCTTAGTTTTACGCTGCACTCAGCAATATTCCAGCTTTTTGGCGGCAGTCTGTAAATAATTGAGTCTGGACCAGACAATCCAGGGATCAACAGCATGAGCATTGATCGGTGCAATTGGGATACGATGACATGTGTCAACCCAGTCAGTGAGCCTGACAACCCAATCCCGTTAGTCGCCTCTTACGACAGGTATGGGTTACTGAAGTTCAATTCTAACCCGTATCTTCACAGGTATTTAAACTATCCAGTCTGGACCAGACAATCCTATAGCTGACAAGACAATGCACACACATCCTCAGCATACAACCTGACGGATATTTCCTGAATGCAAACATACAATTCCAGCTTCATATTGTCTGTGACCCACTAATGAACCCATGACAGTGACTTCCTGAATGCTCTCATGATTGAAAACATATTTCAGCCGGTGCATGTGATACCATTGTCACAATGTGACACACACATAACATAACCTAAACCCATAACTTGAACCCATAACCTGAACATACCATTGTCACCCGAGCAATACCATTGTCATGGACCTGACACCCATAACTTGATACCATTGTCATAACCTGAACACCCATAACCTGAACTGACCGCTAACACTGACACACACACACACACATACATACCATTGTCCTGATGACCCATAACCACAGCATCAATAATATCAATACCATTGTCATAATGCTACACGCCATAACCTTAAACCCCATTGTCATGATGTGACACCAAACCCATAAACCCATATACCATTGTCAACCCACGACCCTACCACCCACACCATTGTCAATGTGACACAGCATGTACACATAATGTGACACATAATATTAATACCATTGTCGCTGATGTGACAGCATTTACCTAAACCCATAACCATTACCTCAAATGTGACATAACACCACAACCAAGTGACATACAGCCATAACCAATATGAACCATTGTCATGATTTGACACACACACACACATACCCATTGTCGCATGTGACGCAAACCACATACCATTGTCATGCATTTATTGCACACTGACACATACCATTGTCATGATGTGACACACGCACACACACACACACACATACCATTGTCATGATGTGACACAGCACACACACACGCCATACCATTGTCATGATGCTGACACAACACACACACACACACACATACCATTGTCATGATGTGACACAACACACACACACACATACCATTGTCATGATGTGACACACACACACACACACACACCATTGTCATGATGTGACACAACACACACACACACATATCATCATTGCCATGCTGATGACACACACACACACACATACCATTGTCATGATGTGACACAAACACACACACATACCATTGTCACATACGATGTGACACAGCACACACACACATACCATTGTCAAGTGATGTGACACAGCACACACACACATATTGATTCATACCATTGTCGCTGATGTGACACAGCACACACACACCATTGTCATGATGTGACACAACACACACACACCATTGTCACGATGTGCCACACCACACACACATACCATTCTCATGTGACACACACAGACACACACACACACACACCATTGTCATGATGTGACACAGCACACACACACACATACCATTGTCATGTGACACAGCACACAGCACACACACACGCACATACCATTGTCGCGATGTGACACACCACACACACACACACACACACAAACATACCATTGTCATGTGACACAGCACACACACACATACCATTGTCATGTGACACAGCACACACACACACATACCATTGTCATGTGACACAACACACACACATACCATTGTCATGACACAGCACACACACACATACCATTGTCATGTGACACAGCACACACACACACACACATACCATTGTCATGTGACACAACACACACACATACCATTGTCATGTGACATAGCACACACACGCATACCATTGTCATGATGTGGCACAGCACACACACACACACACACACACACACACACATACCATTGTCACGATGTGACACAGCATACAGGAGGTTGTCTGGAGCACAAGTCACGTGGGTGATGGGGGACCCCAGCCTGGGCTTGAAGTCCTTGTAGTGTGTCTCGTACTGCCATTTGACCAGAGTGCACTCATGGCCGCCACTCAACAACAAGGAGCCTGACAATTACACAAAGAAGTTTCTTCATCTCAAAGAATCAGAAAAAATATGGAGATTGTAAGTTTTGTCCCCATTCTTATCATTAGAGGTACTTTTGGCTGACTGAGTTTAGTTTTACGCCGCTTTTAGCAATATTCCAGCAATATCACGGCGGGGGACACCAGAAATGGGCTTAATGAGGTACTTTTGGAGGTTCCTGAGGAGATTCTATTAGAGGTCCCTTAGGAGGTACTGGAAGTACCAAAGAGGTACTATTGGACGTCCCTAGGAACTACTGGAGGGGAATACTATTGGAGGTACTATAAGATACCACATTAACATCGTATGGCATCCTGCATGCTGCACTATGGCAGTATAGCACCAAAGTATCTGAGTACCACTTAACAAAGTTTACCCTCCGTGATTGTCCAACACAGCATAAGTCACAACACAGTTCAGCTACATCAAGACAGTTTACTAACCCAGTCTTTGTCAGGCAAACCTTTCTCAGAAGATCTGCATGTTACTTTGTGACTTCAGAATTATGTGCGCCACACTTTTTTCAAGATCCTTGATCTGCCTCTGTGACTTAGTTTCAGGATGAACCATCGCTACTTATCACTCTCTCTGTAACTTGTGGAATGTATAGATAAGAGTTATTTCCCTTGATCTGCCCCATTATTCAGCATCACATCTGCAGCTAATGTCACTAACATTTCACAAATTGGAATAAATAACTTCAATTTAGCTAAAACAAATGTGATGGATGCATAAAGGTAACTTGTATTTCAGTGACCAGTAACAGGAATGTGTTCCATGCTGAGCCAGGGAGACGTAGCAAGCCATTTTTTTTGTGTAAGCCTGATAAGTTGCAAAGCTTTTTATTTAGGTAGTATTGAGGACTTGCCCAGCCTTTTTAGCAGAAACCATGTGTAAGCCCGGGCATTTTTTTATAATGGTAGTTACGCCCCTGTCCTCTTCAAACAGCTGTTTTGAATGCATTGTTAAACTACATCATTACACTTTAGTACATAAGAGTGAGTTTAGTTTTACGCCGCACTCAGCAATATTCCAGCTATATGGTAGCAGTCTGTAAATAATCGAGTCTGGACCAGACAATCCAGTGATCAACAGCATGAGCATCAATCTACGCAATTGGGAACCGATGACATGTGTCAACCAAGCCAGCGAGCCTGACCACCCGATCCCGTTAGTCGCCTCTTACGACAAGCATGGGTTACTGAAGGTTCATTATAACCCGGACCTTCACGGTTCAGTAAATAAGAACTCACTCTATACACACCAAGTGGTATTTCTAACGACTGTTACCTTCAGGTGAGAATGTGAGATCCAGAACGGCCAGGGAATGCCAGTGGTACACAGACTTCACCATCTGCTTCTCATTTGTGAAACTGTACCTGAAACAACATGGAAGAGTGTTGCGTTACACCACTGTTTAGCAAACATATCAATGGAGCTGGAATTGATCCAGCCAGGCCACCAGTGTTTGAGTGAGCATGGTTTTACATGACTCAAAATTCCAGCATATTTGACTAACAAGTTGAGCGGGTGAGTGTTTGAGTGTTTGAGCGAGCGTGTGGTTGAGTGGTTCAGCAGTCGAGTGATGGAGTGGTTAAGTGGTCGAGTTTTCGAGTGGTTAAGCAGTTGAGCGAGTGGGTGGTTGAGCGGTTGAGTAGTTGAGCAGGTGAGTGTTTGAGCCAGTGTGTGGTTGAGCGGTGGAGTGGTCGAGTTGTCGAGCAGTTGAGCGAGTGGGTGGTTGAGCGGTTGAGTAGTCGAGTGGTTGAGTTGGTGAGTGTTTGAGCGAGTGTGTGGTTGAGTGGTTGAGCGGTCGAGTCGTGGAGTGGTTGAGTGGTCGAGTTTTCAAGTGGTTGAGCAGTTGAGCGAGTGGGTGGTTGAGCGGTTGAGTAGTGGAGTGGTTGAGCGGGTGAGTGTTTGAGCGAGCAGTGTGTGGTTGAGCGGTTGGTGGTGAGCGTTGAGTTGTCGAGCAGTTGGCAGCGAGCGAGTGGTGGTTGAGCGGTTGAGTAGTCGAGTGGTTGAGCCGTGGAGCGAGTGTGTGGTTGAGCGGTCGAGTGGTGGAGTGGAGTGGTTGAGTGGTCAAGTTGTTGAGTGGTTGAGCAAGTGAGTGGTCGAATGGTTGAGCAGTTGAGCGAGTGGGTGGTTGAGCGGTTGAGTAGTCGAGTGGTTGAGCGGGTGGAAGTGGTGGTTGAGCCGGTTGGTGGTGAGTGGTTGAGCGGTTGAGCGGTCGAGTGGTTGAGCGGTCGAGCGAGTGAGTGGTGGAGTGGTTGAGTGGTTGAGCAAGTGAGTGACTAACTTACCAGTAATATATCTTGCCATCAGAGCAGCCAGTAGCCAGGGCAAGTTCTGTAGGGTGGGCTGACACACACGTGATCTGAACATACTGCATCTTGTATCTGTTGAAACAAAGCAAACATATCACTTTACATCAGCATTAATGCAATGGGTTAGTTGAGCTTTATGCAGCTTTATAGTACTTCATATACATCACAGTGTGTCAGGCTTAATGTGTGAGGAAAGCCTACAGTTGTACATGTCTCAAACATCTTGTTTAACGCCAGACTCAGCAATATTCCAGCTATATGGCTGACGTCTGTAAATAATCGAGTCTGGACCAGACAATCCAGTGATCAACACCATAAACATTGATCTGGGTGCCGTTGTACAAAGGGATCTTTGCGTTAAGGTGACCGTAACTCCCATACCTTAATACAGACTTAAGGTAGTCATAGCACTAACGTTGTTTTGATCAACAGCACCCTGAGCAATTTGGATACAATGACATGTGTCAACCAAGTCAGCAAGCCTGACCGACCAATCCCATTAGCCGCCTCTTACGACAAGCATGGGCTGCTGAAGACCACTCCTAACCCGGATCTTCGAAGGTGCTATGGTAGTAACAAACATGGAAAAACATGGTCTTGCTAACCCAGTATTCAAACGCACAATGTAGGTTAAAGGCATGCCTATGGGATGCCACTCTGCACAGGATTATATCTTAAATGACTTGGAGCCCATGCCACAAGCATTAATGAAGGTGGTAACTTTCACATGAATATCATGGAAATACGATAAAACTGCTTACTTGATACACTTCTTGTTGTAGTGAATGATAAGTTCTTTTCTATTTGTTGATACTCCAGCAAAATAATTATCCTGAAAGAAACAATAAGCACCAACACTAGAACAGGAACTTGACATTTACACAGGTTAGTCTGTGAGTTGTGCTCAGGAAACAGAAATGTGATGGATTGAAAGACAGATACACAGTAGAGATGAATGGAGGGAGGGAGGGAACCCATTCCAATATCACCCTCCCACTTTGTGACTGATGAGGATGGTGAGGTAGTGGTTAAAGCATTTATGGCAAAGACTGACTGACTGAGTTTGGTTTTACGCCGCTTTTAGCAATATTCCAGCAACATCACGGTGGGGGACACCAGAAATGGGCTTCACACATTGTACCCATGTGGGGATTCGAACCCGGGTCTATGGCGTGACGAGCCAACGCTTTAACCACTAGGCTACCCCACCGCCCCTCATGGCAAAGAACCAGGTTTGATTTTCCACATGGGTACAGTGTGTGAAGCCTATTTCTGGTTTCCCCTAGATATTGCTGAAATATTGCTACAAGCTGCATAAAACACCACTCACTCACTCACTCACTCACTTGAGGCTGAGGAAAATAATCAGTGAATATGAGGACCACAATCATAGGATCATTGCATGCCCAAGGGTCACAACTCTTCACAGCTAACTGCATCTTAAACAACAGGACTACCTGTTCCCTGATCAGCTAAATTGACCTTGACATACACGTCACATTGGTCACTTGGTGTTCAGTTTGGTAAGCAAGCTATACTATTTTTCATTATTTACCCAATAACGCATTTCATTAACGTCATTAACGCATTAACGTCATTTCATGGAACATTTTTATCACTCTCACTGAGATCACATTCAAGAAGACTCATCACATTGATTGAATCAGTGACATCAAGTGTTACACCAAGTAAAAGCAAATACAGAACAGGAAGCCAACACTGCCACAGACTAATTTTCTGTCACACACAGACATCTGATTCAGTAAACCCCTTTTCTTCCCTTCTGACGCTCGTCACACCGAAAGCCCGGGTTTGATTCCCCACATAGGTTCAATGTGTGAAGCCCATTTCTGGTGCCCCCCCATGATATTGCTGGAATATTGCCAAAAGCGGTGTAAAACCATACTCACTCCCGAACTCACTCCTCTTTCTGACAGGTAAATATGATTACATTTGTTAATAACCCTATGGCCATGTTTATTTTTTCATGCTTAACTCCAACTTCAACAAGCCAGAGCACTATGAACTATTTCAGCCTGCAGTTACATTATCTACCTGTGACATCTCCATCACTTGCAGTGTGTACCAACCTTATGTCCTATAGCCACGGTCTTGGCATCAAGTGCACAGCTCTCGAAGATGACACCTTGTTTTGTGGCTTTAAGATCCTTTGACACTCCTCTGTACGCGACACTTGACCCTCTTTAAAGAAATCAATGAAATACACTATTCAGGTAAGACCTGCATACAATGCGCACAACCCTGTCACATAACAAGGCATGCAGCATAACTGTAGTCCGTTTGGCTCAAAAGCGGATCGATGAATTGCAATCTAACTCGAAAACTAATAACCATAAAATACTCAATGAAACACTGATCATAATGAAAACGTCACACCAACTCTGAGAGGTGTTTGCAGAATTTATGTCCTAAAAATAAAAAAGTTGTTTAACAAACTATCATTAAAATATCGACACAGTTCACTATTTGTTACGAGGGAGGAGTGCAGAGAAAGGGACAGCCGGGTGTGCGAGAAAGGATGGAGACGGCACAGCACAGGTTAATGAATCAATAACTTTGTCGGCACTTGTGCACGTGCTTCTCTAACACCTGGCTGTCCCTTTCTCTGCACTCCTCCCTCGTAACAAATAGTGAACTGTGTCAATATTTTAATGATAGTTTGTTAAACAACTTTTTTAATTTTAGGACATAAATTCTGCAAACAAATCACAGAGTTGGTCTGATATTTTGATTATGATCAGCGTTTCATTGAGTATTATATGTTTATTAGTTTTTGAGTTAGATTACAATTCATCGGTCCGCTTTTGAGCCAAACGCACTATAGCCCTGAAGCATCAGCTTGTATACAGGAATAAACCTGTAATACCCCTTGGCATACATAACCTGCATTAGAAATTGAGGAAGTATACAAAAGCAGGCACAGAAAATAATTTTTTCAGCTTCATATTGTTCTGGACCCTCAAACTATGTTATCATCCAAAACAGGATTTCCTTCGATGTTATTCAAACGGCCACATCTCATTTTCCATTGAATAATCATGGAGGGTATTATTTATGTGATTTTTGTCATGCCGCCTGGGCACTTTGAAAATATTTCATCCATGTTATTTCAATACTTTCCGTACCATAGCACGCAAATACAAAACTGTTTCGATCCCTGAAAAGGTAAAATAATTGAAAAAACACACTGTTCTCATGGACTTATCATGCTAAAGCAAGGAGATTATCACTGCTTCAGCATCTTAGACATTGTACAACCCCTTTATTTTACATATCAAATGTTACCTGTTAAAGACTGCTTTCTTGGACTGGTCTGCAATACATGGAACGAAAACTGGCCTTTGCTGATATTTACACTCACAAGACTATGTAACGGCTGTGGAAATTTGTAGCTCTGGAAATGTGAAATGTACAAAATTAGTTTTTCTATGAGGATTGACAATTTTCTATTGTCACCATCTTTGAAACTGGTGACATCTTGTTCGAGCAACCATCATCATATGAGTGTCAACTGGGAGTCAGAGACTCAGACTCTGTGACTTGAATAAATACTCATCCTTCAGTCACTGGATTGTCTGGTCCAGATTATTCTTGGGCTGCAGTGATAAAGCATGAATATTGTTGACTGCTGCATCAACAATACATTCTCATTAAGGGTGAGTGAGTGAGTTTAGTTTACGCTGCACTCAGCAATATTCCAGCTATATGGCGGCGGTCTGTAAATAATCGAGTCTGGACCAGACAATCCAGTGATCAACAGCATGAGCATCGATCTGCGGAATTTGGGAACCGATGACATGTGTCAACCAAGTCAGCGAGCCTGACCACCCGATTCCGTTAGTCGCCTATTACGACAAGCATGGATTATGAAGATCAGTATTCTAACCAGGACCTTCACAGGTCTTCTCATTAAGACCTCCAATGTAAACAGAATGCAAATGGGAAAAATGCACCAACATTAATTAAGACAAGACACACTTTAGTGAATTACTTTTAGCTTGGTAACGGTGTACGAATCTACACCGAAACATTGCTCTATGCAATAAACAAAAAGCTGCTATCCACAAAGTCCCATTCTTCGTTACCGAGTCAATCATCTCTGCAATGCCGATCAAACAATCCGAACTGCCAGCTGAAATGGACAGAGACCAGTTCTAACCTGAACTTCCCTCAGGCTTCCTCTAGGACCAGCAATGGGGTTCTGTGGAAATATTCTTCCCCCATCAGTTTAGTTGCCAGTTACCATGGTTACTATAAGCCATGTGGTGCTGGGATATACTTTACCTCTCTTCTCCACACAAGTTTCCATTTAACCGCCTCTCACATCTAGCAACTGATTGCTGCTGACACATTCTACTTCAGTCCCTACATCATGTGACATGACACACTTACCTTGAGCATGACGCCATCGATGTAGTCCCAGAAGAATACCTGGGCGTCAAGGCCACTAGAGATCAGCTGAAACATGACCACCATCAATAACTAGTCCATCTGACTAATGAGGTAAATAATACAAACATATTTACTAGGGATGCCATGAAACATCGATACATTGATACATCGATACTTTTTCTAAGACAATACAATTATCGATACATTCAAAACTGTATCGATATTTAGTTTTGAAAGTATCGGTTTAAATATGTTTATGTATCATTTACATTTTGCAATTGTATCATGTTGTTTGATGTTATGAGAGTTATATATGATTATTTTTCATGCACAAAGATGGGGAATTTGAACTTTTTAATCTCTGAGAATAAAAAATGTTGATCTTTTCATGGACAATTATAAAATATGAAATATTAATGTTCAAAATGTAACTAAATTTACGCAATAATGCCATGAAAATAGGTATCGTGATATGTATCAAATCGTGACATGATGCATCGTGATATGCATCGATTCATGAAACTTATGTATTGTGACATCTCTAATATTTACTCTGAAATCTGCTTGTTTAAGAGCTTTGAATGGACAGATAAGTGAAACAGTCTGTGAGGTTGTTCCCGGTATTGGACAGCATCGCCCAAACGCAACAATCCTCAACAAAAGCGTGTGCCTGCACGTGGACTCATGGACTGTGACGCGTGATCAGATTTCGATTGTAACGAGTTTCGTCTTTGTCTTCATCAAGTAAACGTCTCATATTTGTACATTTGTGTTTGTGTTGTCTGTTCAAGTCAAAACAAAATCAACGGTCATAGAGCTGGAAAACATATCAATTTTTAAAAAGTTACGCAGAAGACCTGTGTTCGATTCCCCACATGGATACAACATGAGATGATGCATTCCAGGGTCCTTCGCCATAATATTGTGGGAACACTGCTCAACACTCCCACTATTTGTGATAATACACTATAGTTACATCGCTAAAACACTCCCACTATTTGTGATAATACACTATAGTTACATCGATATATGTACATCGAGTAGGAACAATATTTCATCATTGCCATGCACGCCGTGTGGCGTATGAATATGTATCACTTCATCATTAAACTAGAAGCACCGTATCCTTTGGTTGTCCCTGCCTTACCACAAATACGACTGTCGAAACCGCACACAGAAACATAACACTATTCACCCACTCCAACTTCCATATTTCATCAACTTGGAACAGAATAAATGTTTAAGAAATTAGATTACACCAGATGACCTGCCTCAGCGGATGCTCATGGTATTTCAAAAGCCAAGCTTCCCATAAGTTACATGCAGACTGTACCTGTAGTTTGTTGGCTGGATTCAGCATAAGACATGTCACTTGATCTGTGTGAGCCTGTAACTCACGAACACACTCCCCACTCTCTGTGCTGTACACCTTCACTGCATTGCCCGAGCCACAGAACAGACATCTGCATCATAAATCATTTAATGTTCATAAACTAGGGGTGGGTATTGCAGAGAATTTTCATATTGCAATATATTGCGATGCGAAAGCATGTATTGCGATATGTATTGCAATATATTGCATGAAGTATTTTTAAACAAAAACTACTTATAATCGAGGTAATGCTTGATTTATAGAGCAAATACACTGCAAAATCACTATGCTTGATTAAACTTTAATAACAACTTTTATCATGATTAAAAATACAAATGTGAATAATATTTGGCACAAATGAAAAAAGGAAATATATTTCCGAGATTTCGGAGTTTTCAATGCAAGTCAAAATACCGGTTTTCGATCAGCGTATCGCAATACATATCGTTTTCATGTCTGAACCGGTAGATACCGGTAAACCAGTTATATTGCGCAGCCCTATCATAAACTATTCTTCAAGTTCATTTGGTTATTTCATATCAGAATATGTCCCAGCGAAGTATGCTGGTTACAAAAATACAAGAGGCAGCCGCATAGTCATGACAGGATGACATAAATGAATGTTTATGTGTTTTACACTTTTCAATGTTCAATTAGATGATCTAACTCATGTTGCCAGCTTGAAGCATATGATTTCATCTAATCAGCCAATAGTTTACCATGGAATCATGGGCACAATCACAAATGATTAGTGCTGCTCTACCAATTAAGTTATCATATACCCCTGCTTGTTTAACATCATGCACATGTTCATTAGCCACTTTATCCATGAAACTTGATAACTATTCTACGTTGTTAAATTACAATGTACTAGACAGTTAAGAGAGATAGCTTAATTACACCCTATACTTCACAACTAACCCTTCAGCTACAGATTGTAACAGGGTATTTGATAGGCAAGTGGTTGCAATAGAGTGCACTTTACCAGGCACAGCTCTCGCGGCATGCTGCGGAGCTATTATCAGCTATAGCGCTACTGCACTCCAGCACTGTCTCGCTGTATTGTGTTAATTGTTTCGTCTCCCTTCACTGCCAGTCTGCCATCCTTAGGGTTAGGGTTTAGGGTTAGGTACACTTTCCAACCCTTAGAGAGATGACGCATCTTTAGAGTCAAACTACCCTTTATGATCCTTAGGGTTTAGGGTTAGGGTATGGCACCCTTTCGGATCCTTAGGGTTAGGGTATGCCACCCTTTCGGATCCTTAGGGTAAGGGAACCGTTCCTATCCTTAGGGTTAGGAGCCCTTTCCAATCTTTATTTAGGGTTAGACCTTACCTTAGGGCAGTGTAATCTAGGGCTGGGACGGGTAACCCGGGACAGGTGGGTAATGAGTTGGACCTGGGTACCCGTCACGTTACCTGGACCCGCTTTGATCACGTGACTAATAAGTGAAGACTTAATTGAATGTGTTTATAATTATTATATGTATTTACAACGAGATTTTTGTCTATGTTTGAGATTGTGGACTAAACTAGCAGTGAAAACTCACAGGGTATCAACTGTGGACAAATAAGCATGTCACGTGTAACATAGGTTGCAAGTACGCCAAGTACCTATGTCTCACAGGCATGCCCATGCTTTGTTCAGGATGGGTACAGTGCCTCCTCATATAGAAACCGGCTGTTATGAAGGAATCGAACTTACAGATAGAAGATATTTTCACTGCCCAAATCGAGTTGAATCGGAACAGCATTTTATTGAAATGTCCACTTTAAGATGATTTAAGAGAAGACCTTTTAACATCAGCAAAGTTTTTCATGCCACGTTTTACCCTCTTATCGGAACCTGAAAAGTCATCACTCATTTTATCTACTCATATGCTTCCAATATATTGCTCTGTGATATTTAATTATCAACCGTCTCTCATAACTCCATTTATAATATTTACTGTATGTTTTAATATGTATTATTATTTGTTTTAATGTACATATGGTGAGACGCAAATAAGCAATCTGTCAGTCTGTCTGTCTGAGGGAGAGAGGTATTTACTTTGAAAACTTCATGTTTTCATTACATTGTTTACTTGTTAGTTTAATGGTATACACTTTTTATTTATACCTTCAATTGTATTTTGGCTGTAGATTGGAACTTCATTTGTTTGTAGCTCCTGGTTTGTTACGGAGGGATGTTTGTTGTTCTGATGCTTCCACATCGATTACGTACTCCCTCCTTTCTGACTTAGCTGCACTGTGCACAAAGTGCATTTTGTCTTTGTGCCTGATGCGAGTATTCAAAATATTTCCAGACGCCACTCTTAATCTCGGCCATAACTGATTTTATTGAAGGAGAATAACTCGCAATTAGTGTTATAACGGGTACCCGAGTCGGGTAACAGGGGGTCGGGTACCCGGGTTGAAAATTTGGACCCGTCCCAGCCCTAGTGTAATCCTATCATATCCAATTAAAAACATTTCACCCAATCCGGGACTCGTCAGTACAGTCCAAGAGTGAGTGAATGAGTTTGGTTTTACGCCGCTTTTAGCAATATTCCAGCAAAATCACGGCGGGGGACACCAGAAATGGGCTTCACACATTGTACCCATGTACAGTCCAAGAATGGCATGGAAAAAAACGAATGGGAAGGGTGTGGCACAGTGTGGCGGAAGCGCGAGAGATGAAAACAACCCATCGCCCTTGAGCAATGTGATGGCGCTCATGGTCTTGAGGTAGAGCATCCGCTAATCACAAATTAACGAAGTCAGTAATCCGGCGAAGCGTGTTTAAGCCCAAGCAGCTCTAATTAATCTGAAAAAGTGTGCAAGGTAAAGTGCACTACTTCCATGGTGCCCAACCAAAAACATCGTGAAGGGGCATTTGATCAGAAAAAGGGCACATGGACCTAGCTATAAAAGACTGAAGAAGTGAGTTGGGGGTAATCTACCCCATCTCGAGTCGTGTGCTACAGCCGGCAGCCTAAGGCTAACCTAATCAGCGTTATATAAGCTGCGCCGAAAACTAATTTTGGCCCATAGCAGCAATGTCTCTATGAAATCTATCATATCAGTTCAGCAAAACAGATGCGCGAAAAGTGTAGACTGTGAATTCAATTCTCAAAATGTCAACTGAATTTTGTATGTGGCATATTTTCGCAATGTCACTTGAATTAAGCTGTGCATAAATATAACTTACTTTGAATCATGAGAAAATATAGGTTTTGTCTGAACGATGCTTTCACCAGCGCGTAAACACACGATAGGTTTATCGTCAACAATATCCACGTGCGGCATGGTCGTCGCCATTACAGTTTACCGTTACCTCAATAAAACGACTGTTGTGATTGGTTTGCCATGGAAGCCTGGCCAATCAAAACGTTCTTCTCAAATAACTCTTCAAAACCCTTTCCTTCCGGTTCCTGCCAAGGTTGACGAAATAAATTTGTAGAAATTTCTACAGAGCACAGAAGTGTACAGAAAAACGATACAAGATCATGGTGAAGTTGAGCCCAGGTGCCAAGCAAAGGGTTACATCGCTGCTGAATACCACACGAATTGTTTTTCAATGGGGATTCATCCCAACTGTTCTTTATTTAGGTAATTGCCGACTTGCTCTCCCATGATTTTATGTGACCCTCACGTTAACACAATTTATACAGAACGGTAACCTAAATTCGTGGATAACCTTGATTTGTGGATCGCGGAAATTATTATGCTAGCTCGTAAATTAAGTCTCGACTGACGTCACAAAGCGGTACTTTTGTCAAAAGTTTTGATGTACATACAATGCCACGCCTCGGGTAAGAGTTCCGCCCGTAACCCCCGCTAGAAATGTATTCTATTTATTAGGATTATTTCGAGGGTTTAGGGTTAGGTTTGTGGTTAGATTTTAGGTTTAGGGTTAGGCATAGGCTGTTTATAAAAAAAACATAGGCGTATATTCTTAGGCATATAATGATTTTAAACAATACGGGGGTTACGGGCGGAAATCTTTCCCCAGCGGGGATGTCTGGCTGGGTTTTTGGCTTATTTCACACACTGGTAATGGTATATACAGTCAAATGTTTTTCCGTAGATATTTTTGATAAAATGATGCATTAATTCTGAGTAGATCTAGCTTGAAATGGCATCTTTGAAAGTGTTTGATGTATTCTTATTTGATTTCTTTGTTTTCATTGTAGGTTTTAGAACAGGGGCTGATGAAGGCACGCCAGAATTAACTCTGTTGAGGTAATCCAGCATTTGAGCAGATTATATCTAATGAAAATGTTTTGAAATACGTTAAATAGTCACACAAAGTATGGGGCAGTGGGGTAGCCTAGTGGTTAAAGCATTTGCTCGGGTACGATTCCCCATATGGGTACAATGTGTGAAGACCATTTCTGGTGTACCCTGCCGTGATATTGCTGGAATATTGCTAAAAGCGGTGTAAAACCCAGCTCACTCACACAAAGTATACATTTACACACCCAAGAAATTCATATCTTATTTCATAGTTCAATCCAAAAAGCCACAAAACCGCTACCTTGATCCCACGTCCAGTGCATTTGCTCATTGAAATCCCGGCTTAGGCCATGCTGTGAGAGACGTAATAGAGAGAAATACACAATTTTCCCGTGTTTATAGTGCATGAATCTGCATGAAAATAAAGGGATTTTCCATCATTCTCTGTACATGCAAAATGCAGAAAGGGGTTTTTTGCAATGCGTGAACTAATTTGTCAAATGAAAGGTGTCATTTCTGTAGATTTCCAAGACCGATTCCATGTGGAGGAAAATTTGGATACAGCAATGTCAGCATGGAGAAAAGTAGAAAACATTTTGTCTCTCTGATCACACGAACAACTGCCAAACATGACTAACATATGAAATAAAACTATGTATCAAAACAAGCCATCATCCGAGTGTTTACAACACATCTCATGATAGCATTATTGTGAATTCATACTGATAAACACAGACCTTAGCTAATGCTATGTTTCTGACCCAGTAGCAGATTGTTTGGTCACTTGATAAACTACATGCTGAAACATGTAAATAATCATTTATTAACAGAATAAAAAAGTTGTGAAATCTAGAATTCAAACCTATCATCACTGATACTATAGTCTGTTTCCAGTGAAAACGTACCGATGAATTTCACTTTAAACAAAAAAGTAAAACAAATAAAGTGAAATTAAGATTGTGAATCCTCATAATTTTACCTTGCCACTTGAACATTTAAATCTCAGAATTTTATTCAACTTAGGATAAAAGTTGTTTAACAAACGATCATAGATTCAAATCGCTATTACTGGTTTGTATTACAATGGTGTAAGCGCAGTAGTTGGAACAGTGAAACAAATGCACGTGCGGTACGTGAAGAGCGTTAACTTAGAACAACCCTTGTCGTTCTTGGTGTTTCATTTGATGTGCATACCCCTTGTAATACAAACCCATAATAGCGATGTGAAACTATGATCATTTGTTAAACAACTTTTATCCTAAGATGAATAAATTTCTGAGATTTAAATGTTCATTTGGCAAGGTAAAATCATGAGGATTTCACTTTATTTATTTTACTTTTTGTTTAAAGTGAAATTCATCGCTACAATTTCACTGCAAACAGACTATACAGTTGTTGAATGTCAAGTATACATGTGTTATGTGTGTAAGTTGTAGTGCTGTCCCATTTCTCTTGTTGCCCGTGAAGATCCGGGTTAGAATTGATCTTCAGAAAATCATGCTTGTCGTAAGAGGCGACTAACGGGATCGAGTGGTCAGGCTCACTGACTTGGTTGACACATGTCATTGTATCCCAATTGTGTAGATCAATGCTCTTGCTGTTGACCAGTGAATTGTCTGGTCCAGGCTGGATTATTTGCATACCACCGCCACATAGCTGGAATATTGCTGAGTGTGACATTGAACGTCAAACCAACAATTCTCCTGTAAGATTAAGCCCAGTATCAGAGAGTAATAGCATTGTACTTTTCATTGTGCTGTGATTGTCTTAATGCTAATACCTTACCTGGGCCTAGATTTTAATGAAATGTATCTCTTAGCACTAAGATGTGTGAAATTAATGCTGTGACCTGTTGTGACTGTTCAACCCAGCTCTGTGGAGAGTTATCACATTTATATCTTACCCTGTCCTACAAAGGGGCAATGGGGTAGCCTAGTGGTTAAAGCGTTCGCTCGTCACACCAAAGACCCGGGTTCGATTCCCCACATGGTTACAAGGCGTGAAGCCCATTTTTGGAGTCCCCCACTATGATACTGCAAAAAGCAGAGTAAAACCAAACTGACTCACTCACTGTCCTAGTGTCCTATGACCATCTTAGCACCCGTATGTTACCTGGTACTGTGAGTGCTTGTGCTTCGTGGCAATTTTTAGCTTCATTGTGTCCTTTAAGGCCTTTGTTGTAAACTTTGATTTGTTTCTCTTCCCAGCTTACTGTGGCAGTGATAAGACTGACGTCTCAAATAGCAGCCATGTTCTTCCTGCTGTGTTGGAAGACTCTTGGCTCATAGACAGTGGAAGCCTGAACTGAGTGTGCAAGATCCTTGTGTGAAAGATCCTGAAATAAAACAATTTCCTGACTCGACTGTGTTTGTACATGTTTTATTTTCTATGGAAAGACCCCAAGTATAGTATCTGGAAGCCTGTGTGTAAGTGGGGCTCAGTGTTCTTAGAAAACACCAAACGTGCAGAGTTGTGCCCCTTAGCTGAGCTGCCATCTGTTGTTTTCGGGTTAAATACCCAACTATAGTACTCATGGAAATAGATATAAAATGGTTTGGGGCGAGGTTTTGAACACAACTAATGTTTAACTGTTAAATATTCTATGACTGTCGTTTTTCCCAATTTTTGTTTTTAACACTTTTTATAAAATGATCCAAAATAGATGAGTTTACAGGAGAGCAAATCATGTCGTATACCACTTTAGTGCAGCCAACAAGCAAGGATATATATGCCACTCTGGTGCAACCCACAAGCAAGGATATATATATCGCTCTGGTGCAACCCAAAAGCAAGGATATATATATCGCTCTGGTGCAACCCACAAGCAAGGATATATATGCCACTCTGGTGCAACCCACAAGCAAGGATATATATGCAGCTCTGGTGCAACCCACAAGCAAGGATAGATATGCCGCTCTGGTGCAACCCACAAGCAAGGATATATATGCCACTCTGGTGCAACCCACAAGCAAGGATATATATGCAGCTCTGGTGCAACCCACAAGCAAGGATAGATATGCCGCTCTGGTGCAACCCACAAGCAAAGATATATATGCCGCTCTGGTGCAACCCACAAGCAAGGATATATATGCCACTATGGTGCAACCCACAAGCAAGGATAGATATGCCACTCTGGTGCAACCCACAAGCAAGGATATATATATCGCTCTGGTGCAACCCACAAGCAAAGATATATATGCCGCTCTGGTGCAACCCACAAGCAAGGATATATATATCGCTCTGGTGCAACCCACAAGCAAGGATATATATGCAGCTCTGGTGCAACCCACAAGCAAGGATATATATGCCACTCTGGTGCAACCCACAAGCAAGGATATATATGCCTCTCTGGTGCAACCCAAAAGCAAGGATATATATGCCGCTCTGGTGCAACCCACAAGCAAGGATATTTATGCCGCTCTGGTGCAACCCTCTGGTGCAACAACAAGGATATATATGTCGGCTCTGGTGCAACCCACAAGCAAGGATATATATGCCACTCTGGTGCAACCCACAAGCAGCAAGATATATATGCCACTCTGGTGCAACCCAAAAGCAAGAATATATATATGCCACTCTGTTGCAACCCACAAGCAAGGATATATATGCCACTGGGTGCAACCCACAAGCAACCTACAAACAAGGATATATATGCCACTCTGGTGCAACCCACAAGCAAGGATATATATGCCTCTCTGGTGCAACCCACAAGCAAGGATATTTATGCCACTGGTGGTGCAACCCACAAGCAAGCATATGATATATATGCCACTGGTGCAATCCACAAGCAAGGATATATATGCCTCTCTGGTGCAACCCACAAGCAAGGGATATATATATCCACTGGTGCAACCCACAAGCAAGGATATATATGCCTCTCTGGTGCAACCCACAAGCAAGGATATATATATCGCTCTGGTGCAACCCACAAGCAAGTATATATTTGCCACTCTGGTGCAACCCACAAGCAAGGATATATATGCCACTCTGGTGCAACCCACAAGCAAGGATATATATGCCACTCTGGTGCAACCCACACAAGCAAGGATATATATGCCGCTCTGGTGCAACCCACAAGCAAGGATATATATGCCTCTGGTGCAACCCACAAGCAAGGAT